CCTCGCACAGTAACATGTGTTAAAGTGAAAGACAGTAACGAAATTCTTGGGGGGTATAATCCAAATGTATGGAAATCAGATAAATTAGATAAAAGTTACGACCGTAACGGCACTAATAAAGATAATTTTATATTTTCTTTTAGCAATGATAAAATTGGTAATTATATTTTAAGTCGTGTAACGAATGGGAATTATGCTACAATAAATAATCCTCATTATGGTCCATCATTTGGTGGAGGTGATCTTACTATTTGGGGTTATAATACTTGGAATAAGGAGTATTGTTGTAGTATAAAAACACATTATGAAACATCGATTAGAATTACTGAAGGCTTCTTTGATATAGAAGAATGTGAAGTGTTTCAAATTGTGTAGGAAAATTAATAGCGATGAGTTTTTTTGAATTACTACTACTCATTTTAATTAAAATATAATTATTAATAAAGCTTAGTATTGATATATTTGTTTAATTGATTATATATATTATATATATATTTATTTAATAATCTTGTTAAATTAAGAAGAATAACTTTAGCAATACAGAAACAATAAAAAATAAACTTACCTTTTCCTATTTACCAAATAATCGTATTTAGAATTTAAATAAAGTTGAAAAAAAAGTAAATAAAATATATTCGGGAAAATAAAATCGTCTGAAAAACTTATTCTTTTTTACGGTAAGCAAAATTTTCTCCTTCTATTTTCTTTTTAATTTGCACACCATAATATAAATTTTCGTGATTGAATATTTTCGAAAATTTATTTTGAATACTAAACAAACTAATGAATATCATTTACCATAAAGGATAATCTTGAAATTTTTCTGTATGTCATTCTATTCAATTTTAATTACAGTAATATGAATCGGTTATGAAAGATTAAGTGAGTTTCAATTCCGATGAATAAAATCTGGAAGCCCAAAACATCTTTTTTCTATAGGGTTACGCTGATTTATCAATTATCATTGATGGAGTATTAGAAGAGATCGTTCAAGCACGTCAGTCATATGGATCGTAACATAACCATCTCGTCCAAAAATTTGAAAATATGAAAAAAGAGATCGTTCCTCATATGCATCACCAGGATCCCGGATAGAAATCTTCCAAATAAACTTCGGCTCATTTTCGCATTATTCTTGCCTAATTTATTGTTACACAGTTGGAGACTCCTCAATATTTGAAGGTTTGTGTAATCCACAAGGAGAACATTTTGAATTATCGCTGGAGATCTTTCTTTTGCTTGTTGAATAGTTTTCTTTATTTATTACGACTCTTTGAAGGACAATATGATAATTAAGTAAGCGAAGAGTGCTTGCTCAAACTATAATCGTGATCTTTATTTAAATTGATCGTAATGATTGAGTATCATTAGGCTATCACATTTAGGGAGACACTTGAGAACTCCATTAGAAAAAGTATTTTATATCAAGAGTTAATACGAAATCTAAATACGTGCTACTCATGAGTCTTCCCATTAACTCATTAACTAATTTTACTTAATAAATTTTTTATTATTTAGCTTGAATGTAGAATTATTTGTAATTTAAAACTTTAGCTTAATTTGGAGCTGTTCTAATTGATGTAATTTACTTTCAAATTATAAGTTAACATTAGGTATTCTTATGTCGAACCAAATTTAACATAGCACAAATAGGGAAGTTAGAATTATAGTTTATACTGGCCGGAATTAACCTAATTTTAAATTAAATTGTGTTTAAGAACTTTCTTAAGACTTAAGCGGAATTCTGATGCGAAACTTTTATGTCATTGTTTGAACGAACAACATAATAAATTGGAAACATGAAATTCAAATACTGTACAACCAACTTCCGTCAAATGTATAAGAAATTTTTCTATCTAACTTGTGTTCACTTTTTAATAATAATGTGAGTCTGTGATTCATTCATGTTTGTTTTGGATCCTATAACAAGTAGTATATAATGATGACCAGACCCAATCTAATGTTTAAAGATACGAATATTAAAAACTTTTAAGTATTTTTAATCAATAATTGAAATATTCATTATTTGAATTTACCAAGATAAAATATAAAAATATTTAATAGTCATGACATGGTACAAACAAATAAATAAGAATTGCTTAGCCAGTTAATTAATAGAGTAATTAATTTAAAAATAAGTAATTAATTAATATTGACCTAATAAGTAATAATAAATAATCTTTTTGTACTTTTTACGCTTCAAGAAAATTTTGAGATAATTTTAGTAAAAAATTTATTATTTTCGTATTAAACATTTAAACCCACACCACTATATGACACTCCCTTATTAGTATGACTTGTAAATTAAAATGTTAAAACGAACGTTTTGATCCAAATAACATAAGTAATACTTTTTATTTTATCCCTATTGTCGTTATTCTCATCATCATAATTATTAATTTCTCCTCCTTCAGCAAAAGTTGCTTCAATTGTTTGATAAATTAACATATAACATGTTAAAGTTGTTCAATAATAATATTAAAATTTGTTACAGTAAATACAATATTTTTCGATTTCCAAATGCACCTACAAAAAGATTATTATTATAAAAAGGTTAAACTATAATGTGATTTAACCTTTGTTCAGGATTTTTTTTTTTTATTTTTTTTGTATGTAGGATAACAATGTTAAGAAAAAGCAATCCAAGAAAATAATCTTTATATATACGTGAACTTTGGATAAACCGATTATACGTCACTTCTTTATTCAATATTCTAAAATAATTTGACACATTTAGTTTTGGTTTACAAAAATTGCGGAATAGAGTATTCTTATATTTTTATTTTATCAACAAAATTTTAAGTATACAACAAAAAAATTTCCAAGTCCCCAGAATACATATAAAAAAAATGAAAAAGAGAGGGCGTGACACGGATCACAAAAGGGTAGAATAAATTGTCATAAATAGTAAATATTGATATTCTACAAGAATTGCAAAAATAGGACTAAACTTCTAAAGTATTAATTTGTTGATTGGTATTATTTTAAAATCATCCTCATGTGACAGTATGGCCTAATAAGAAAGACCTTAAATAAACAGACTATGATTTCGAGCAACAATACAAAAAGAAGTTACAAGTACGTTTGCAGAAATTTTTTAAGTATGTTTGAGACAAGTTTGAGTGGTACGGCACCCAAGAGGTGATTAAATGAAATTTAATCCAGATATCTCTATAAACAATTTTAAGACATTCTTTTTCATAAAGTGTCCGGCGGTATTTCATGAAATATCGGAAAAATGATAAAATGTGCATATTGTCCGGAATTTTTTCACACGAGAAACACAAAAAAAAAATTAGGACATATTTATGACATGGTATTCTGGACAAATAAAACCGGATAAATTCCAGACACAAAATTCTGGACTATACTGGACAAATAAAACGAACAACATATACTGGATAATAAAATCACACAAGAAAACTTCCTGATGAACACAGTGTCCTGAATCTTTCATGTTGTACGTATCAAATGACCGAGACAAATTCTGGACACCATTTTTTTAGGGTATATGGTCGAAGTAAACTAACTTTTATTTTTGGAAATGTGTATGCTATATTCGTGGCAAATGGTTGCTTGTAGGGATAAAAAAAGTGACTTGTATAATTTAAAAGTAAATTTATTAGAAAACTTCAGTTTCTCCTGCTAATTATGAAGTAATTTTGAAAAAGTCAAAATTTACTTACTACTGGGGAGCCAGATTGAATAATAACTTTAATGTTATTAAATGGATAATGAAATAAAGTATTAATTTAAATACCAGCCAATAGATTAATCTTAAGAGAATTTATCAAATAATATAATACAGCAGAATAATAAATCTAATGTAAAAATGATTACTTTTTTTGATTTAAAAGAATATTTAAGTTCTCTTGATCCATTTTCTAAAACATTCTTATACCAATAAATAGCATATTCAATATTCTTGTCAATTCCTTCGCCTTTTTCATATATAAATATGCAAGATTTTTTTGTACATTGAGATTTCCCTATTGCAGCCGTTTAAATGCTTTTACTTTATTAATGTCAGTTCATAAAGATATCCAAGTTTATATTGAGTATCACAACTTTGCAAAAAATCCTAAATTTTGTATTAGAATTTTAATATGAATATAATAATAGTCTATTAAAAGCATAATAAAAAAGCTATTATATAAAATTACAAATATAGGTTTAAAATAGGTCGTAATAAAGGTTTATAAATCGTCTAAAAATATTTTTCTAGATTTTGCAATATGTTTATGCAAATATTATATTACGTTTATATTACTAATGTATGGTTTTATAATTCTACGTTTAGGCTTATGTCTAATATAGGAAAAATTAAGGCTTTTCAGACGAAATAAAGTACATTTATTATATCAAGCTTAATAATCAAAAAGCTCTTTATAACTTTATAAATAATTTTGAATTGTGTAACATGAAAACATGTGATATGTCTGCGCCTGATTTATTCCGTGTTTATTATCGTAGGATAGAAAACAAGTCCTCCATTTTCCCTATTTTATTATTTGTACCTTGTAACGCAAAGGTTATTTAAGTAAATAAATTATTTTATTTTTATATAGGTACTCCGTGAAGTTCCCATCCAAAGATCTTCAAAACACTTGCAATAAATACTCTTTTTTGGTCATGATCTACTCATACGTTTATTGGGTGAAATTTAAATAATCATTAATCATTAATCATTATTGAGTACCTTTGGGTCTTATTTATAGTTAATTAATATAATTTAAAAAAATTTGTAATGCAAAATGAAAATTTTTTTTAATGAATGAATTTATGACAAAAAATCAATAATCCCCAACGACTAATTTAAAAAATTCACAGCCACAGTAAAATTGTTTATTGGGCCACGCAAATTCGATTTTTCGGTTCACGTCACCCGGCCGGGTCACTTTTTCAAATTTCAATAAAAAAAATTTTATATATAAAAATTTTATCACGTGACTACGATATGCAATTTTATTGATGCGTTAAGCTTTATTGAATTATTACAACTAATTAGTTTCAACATTTTTTTGTTTACTTGATTTTACAAATTTCTTTTCTTTTCTTTTTCTCTTTTTATTTTCGTCTGACATACTATCACAGTCTTCACAATATGGAAAATATTCACCATGATTAGTATTGTGTTCTTCACATTCTACACCACAATTAAAGCAAAGGACTTCTTTAAATAATCTACTTGAATAATATGGAATTTCAATAGGACTATTACATGTTAAAGTGTTATTAACTTTAACAATAGAGAATAATTTCTTCATAGAATCATTTGTGTCATTAGAAGCTATGTCATAAAAACTATCACCACATGTATATTGAATTTCGTCTAAAAATCTTGCCAGTTCTTCACTTTCTTGTAAAGCTAACTTTGATTTTGAATAAATTACACGCCATTTATCACATTCCCCACATTGAATAAGAGTGCCTACATTTTTACAACATTGTGCACTAGGTTTAAACCCCATCTCATTATTTGAATTTTTTTTATCTTTTAATGAGGGCCTATATTCTTCTGATGTTTCCTGACCATACAATTCTTCAAAGCTTTTATATTTTTTACCATCCAAAGATGGAATTGGATCAGGAAAGTTATGAACTTTGAGCCAAGTTTCAGAATCACATCTTACGGGTTTACATATATGGCAATCTAACGATCCACACTTTTTAATTTCAAAAAAATAATGTCGTGATCTATAACAATGGTTGTAAAATTCCAAAAATTTAATTTTATTTTGAATACTTCTTTTTGAATTATCTTCCATTGTTAAAAGATTATCAATTGAAAGAAGCGAATTCCATAATGTAGTCATTTCTTCATCAAAGGCTGCTTTAAAAGTACCAAATTGTTCTCCCTTCAATTCAAGTCTCTTAATTAAATTTTCCATTAATTCAAGAGTAGGTTGTAAACTATTTAATAGTTGTTCTTTTAATTGTGGTTCTTCTTCAGCTTTATTTCGGATATCATCCATTGAATTACAATATTTCATAATCTCTTCAAACTCTTCATCCATTTCTGCTCTCATTAATCCTATACACTGTAATCCTAGATTTAAAATAGACATTATACGTTCTACAGGATTTTTCCAGGAATGTCCTGGTGGTGTACGCACTGCTATCAATAAATCTAAATCTGGTGTAATAAATAAAGCAATTAAAGAAAGTTGGACTCTTAAATAATTAACACGATGATCAGGGCCACCATCTGTGTAAATTAATAAAAATGGATTTTGCTGTTTATCATTTGCAAGTAAATTATACAATTCTGAATTATGTCGCATTGGACTAGATGGTTGAAAAATTGGATCTTTTAACCCTGCATAAACTTTACCTTGATAGAAAGAATCTTCTATATTCATTGGTATATCACGAAACATTGTAACACTAGGAATAATTCCACATTTCGTAAAATCATGATCACTAACAACAAAAGACTTATTGCATGAAACTATTACTTGTTTTCCTCTTTCAACGGCAGCAACTGGATAGCCAGGTTCTCCAACCTTACATCTGTGTTTGTCATCCATAAAAACCAACCATGAATAATCCTTAAAAGTAATAGCTAATTCTTTCAGATATAGAAATAATGCTGAAGCATAATGACTGTCAATATGATTACATCGTAATTGTCTACTTTGTACCATAAATTTAGCATCTAATTTCCCAGTATATTTCAAACTTGATAGGTAAGTTGGATTACGTGGCCAAAATTGTAATCTTACCCATTGTTCTGATGGTATCTCTGTATCTGGTGGACATAAATTTGTTACTTGTTGGCGCAAATCACGTATTGAAATGGCTTGTGCTAAATGTTGAATTGTATCATGTCTTCTTTCATCCACCGCCAATATAGTTTCATTTACAGTATTTTCAAAATATTTTTGTGCATAACTCCAAAAAGTGTCAAATTTATTTGTCAAACCTCCATTAAGATGCCTAAGATCTGAAATAAATTCTGGATCACCTAATTCAATCATTATATCAACCCTTTCATCTACTTTTTGAGAAGCTGAATTCTCAGATGCAGAAAAATCACCAAGTAGATCAGAAATAATATGACGAAGTCTTGATTTTTCGCATTTTCATACGTGTAGTTCAAAATTTTCAATTAATTCTTTTTTCATTGCTCAGGTATGAAATATTTTCAATTGGGCTTTTAATTTTGTTCGGATCTTATAGTTTTTGTTAACTATTTCTGTCTCATTAGCATTTGGATTAATCTTCCATATATATACTGCATTTTGTGCCGAACCATGATGGTACTTATACAACCCAACTTTAAATAAAAAAGCCATATTCAATCCTTCAATAAACCTATGCCTTCTCATTCTTTCATTAGGACTAGGGATGCCAATGGTCGGTTCGGTTCGGTTTCGGTTTTAAAACCGCAGTTTTCAGCTGAAACCGAACTGACCGCAAAACTGACCGATAAAACCGAATTGCAAAACCGATCGCAAAATTACTGCAAAATTGAATGAACTAATGTTAGAAAGTGTTAATTATAATTTTATTTGATAATATTCCTTAAAATTATAATTTTTTTTACGATAATAATGTCAATTTTGCGATTTTTTCAGCGGAACGAAAAATCACGTGATCGACGCATAAAAAATTTTCTTATTATTTCAAAAATAAGAATACTATATATATAAATAAACACCAAAATCATAATTTTTAATAGTATTCTCAATATAATAAACATTCTTTTCTTTTGGAATATATGATTAACTGATCGGTTTTTTTGTCGGTTTTTTTATATATAAAACCGACGGTTAACCGGTCGGTCTTGGACTGAAACCGAACCGTAACCGAACCGATAAAAACCGGTTATAATCGGTTATAACCGAACTTTTGGCATCCCTAATTAGGACAAAACTCATTCACATTAACAGGCTCCCAAAATTCTACTTCTTCTAATTTATTAGTTAAAGAACAATATTTATTTATATTTGCTGGATTATGCCAAATATTTGCTGAATAAATTTCCATAGACCCTGCTTCCATTTCGTCAACTATAGGAATTAATGAATTTTTTATTTCCTTACTTCGAATTTGTTGATGTTCTAAATATTCTGAATATTTAGCCAGGATTTCACCAAACTTAGCTAAAGATTCTTTTAGCCAGTTAAACCTACTTTGTTGCATCCAATTTAATTCAACATAATTAAGTATTTTTTTGCTTTGTTGAGTTAATTCTTCATAACTAAATTTTGGTCTTGAGCTTTTATAGTTTTCTGGAAATGATCTTCCAAAAAATTCATAAAAAGTTACAGGAATCTTAAACTTTTGATCCAATGTTTCTACAGAACGACTATCGACGTACCATAGCGCACTTGCCAAATCTGTTATGAATTTTTTTCCAATACTATCTGCAGCATCCTTTCCTTTCCATCCGCCACCATTATTTTTAACCCAATTAGATAAATCTAATCGCAACTTTTCCAATGCATTCCTTGGAGAGTCGTTAAATTCTGGAACAAACAGATCATTTGAACTAGCTTTTAAAATATCAAAAGCACTAATAGGATTAGAAATCCTATGAGATATCATTTCCTGTGATATGAGATAAAAATGTGCATAAATTCCATATTGAAGTGAAGCTTCCCAAGCAATGCATTGTGCTGAAATTTTTTCTCCAACTGATGTTTTTGATGGACTAAACTTCACTTCAAACTCTGCATCCCACCAATCGGGTGATAAATATAAGATCGATATATCTCCAAAAAAATCTTTTATTTTTATTTCTTTTTCAACAGGTAATCCTTCCCAATCTTTCAAAATTACAGATTTGTAACTTACTCGCATATGTATAATAGGCATCTTGGCTTTAAAAAAAAACTTAAGAGTGAAAAAAAAAATTGATTATCTTTAAAGGGGCAATTAATTACGATAATCACATTAAAATTGGCCAATCAGAAGTCATGGTTTTACATATAAAATTTTTTTAATAATAAAATATAAACCCCAGGTCCCCAGGTCGATTTTAAATTTCAATGTTACGTAAACCGAAAAATCGAATTTGTGTGGCCTTATTATTATTTAGGAAATATGAACTACAGTTATTATTATGAAAAAATATACATTTAAGGAATAATTTGGCAAAAATCCTAATTAATAATAACAAATAAAAATAAATAATTGTGTGAAAAAAAAACAAAAAAAATTTTTTTTTTACACATGAATTTTATTTAATCGATAAACCTCCAGTGCAACGACATTATAATTTTATAATTTTTCATTACCTTATTAGGAAAATATTGAGGCTTAATGAGCTGCAGTTATAAGATCTACTTGTAGTACGTTTAAGGAATAACTTCTAATTAACATAAGCCCCAGTGACTAATTAGCAATAACAATATAATTGTTCGTTACCTTCTTAGGAAATATTAAGGCTTAATCACCTTAGACCACAGTTATTACAATATCTTATTATACTCATTTATTCAAATGATGTAAATATGTGTGAGGTAAATTTTTTTTTCAAAACCCCATGAAGTGAACAAGATAATATTTTTTTTGCAAGTTAAAAATTAAATATACATTATGGAGTTGAGCAGCACATTGGGTATTGAAGAATTTGGAAGTTGGCTGTGGAAATGTTTAAGATTTAAAATATATATACGTGTGGTATGAGTATGTTAGTGAGAAAAAAAAGAAAAATAAAAATTTTTACTCTTTAATTACTCTTAAACAAAAAAGAATATGTCCGTGAAAATCTCTATGATGTGTTACATTCACAATTTCACTGAACAGCTTACCCAGAAGTTTACAGTGAAGGAAATGACGGCTGTTGCAAGATTGAATGATGATGATGTGACGAGAGTAAAGGCCTTCATTCTGGTAGATCCAAATATTCCAAAGATTTTACTACCCTATAAAAAAGAAATGTCCGGAAATTGTATCTGAAAATGTCCAGGTGCATCCAAAAATTGTCCGGAAATTGTCCAGATATTGCAGGATTTAGGACAAAAATCAATTTTCTGAATGTTTGATTGTCCGGAATTTGCCTAGAGAAATGTCCAGAATTTTTGATCATCCGGAATTTGTCCTAAAAAATGTCTGAATATCCGGAATTCGCCCAGAAAAAATGTCCTGAATTTTTTGATGTCCAGAATTCACCCGAAAAAAATGTCCAGAATTTTTATTCCCCTAAAAACCAATCAGTACGCTGGCCAGATGTACTTATTTTGGCCTTTCTTTGATTCAAGCACTTTTCATTTATTATTAGTATTGAGTTTATTTAATTTTCATTTTGTGTTTGATCTAATTATATTTTAATATTATTTAATATTTTATTGTGGGTTTATATTTAAACACACCTGCGTTTGAACGCACCCCCATAGTATAAGTCAAAAATGAAGTTTTAAACTCTTTTACCAAAGGTAAGTAAAGTTGTAGGGGAGACAAAAATACACATATAACGTGAGTTTATTTATAAGTGTATAAGGTATAAATTGCGTTTATTCAAAAAAATCAGAAATTCTCCGTTATCACGTGATAAAATGATCAGCATTTTTATTATATAAAAATTTCAAAACGCAGGCGCGTTCAAATTTTAATCCCTTTTATTTTATGTATTTATAAAAAATTGTATTTCAAAAAAAAATCTTTTTTTACAGTATTTTTTTTTATATTTCATTATTTTCAAATTCATTATTTAATTCTTCTTTATCTATAATATAATAAACCTGATTAATTTTAATAAATCCTACACAGTGATCAATAGCACATACGTCAATAAACTCATGTGGCCCATATCCTGAAAATGATAAAAGTCCTATATTATCCACTTCAACCTCATTTGTCCAATGAATATATGCTAACATATGTGTTTCTTCTTCAAATTCATAAGCTAAATAATATTCTATGTTTCCAAAAAATGCTTTTGATATAAATTCTGGCGTTCTTCTTGGAAAATTAGTCCATTTATCTACTTCCATTATTGCCTATTAATATTATTAAATAAATTTAATAAATAAAAAAATGCCAATGTATTTGTCAAACTGTTTACGAACCATAACTGAATAGTTAATTCTAGCCCAGTCATGATTTCTCCTAATCCATTTTGAACCAATATAAAGATTATCTTTTGTTTGTAATCGTCCATATTTTATTCCTGATGGAGAAAAAGACTACATAATAAATTATTAGATTATTAATAATTTTAATAATAATATTTACAATTAAATAATTTACCTTAAGTGTTTTGTTTGTGACATTATAAAAAACAGAGAAATGATCTTTTATTTTTTTCAATTCTGTTTGACTAAGAGTGTATTTCTTTAATGGAAAATAGAATTTTTCATCTGTATTTTGTTTAGAAAATACATGATGTGAATATTGATTAGGTAGTTGTGGTGGTGGAAAAATATTTGTATAAATTGTATGATAATATTGTAAATGATTAAGTAATTCCCAAATATGAATATTATTAATTAAATTTCTATAAGGATGAAGTCTTGATCGCACTAATGGAAGGAGCATTCCACAAATACGTTCAATTGGGAACTGCCATGTAGCCCAACATGGACCAGTATTTCTGATGCTTTCAGAAATGTGCAAAATATAATGAAAGCATAGTTTCATTGTACTTAAACGTTCTTTTATACCACGGTAATATTCCCTATTAAAAAAGACTTAATGTTAGAGAATTAAACCCTTATTAAAATTTAAAATATAATATTTACATTTCATAATAATTATAAAATAATCGAAATAGTAACTGGATATTATTTAATTCTTCATCAGTTAAAGTTGACTTTTGACATAAACAAACAGCTTTAACAAAGTAAGCCCATCCTTCATAATGCTTTTTTGGCATTCTTCCTTTTAATAATGGTAAAGAATACATGGTTATCCAAGCTGCCCATTCTTCAGCTTTATAACCATTGTGATGATGAATTATATTGCGAGGTGATCTGCCAAGATATGTTGGAATCATTTTCTGAAAACTATTCATCTCATTGCCTATTTCATTCCATTGAGTTTGACTAAGTATATAATCACCATTATTTTGGTTACCATTCTTTGGAAAAAAATTTCCTATCCAAAATTGAAACATATAACCTGCGATATTCTCAAATATCAAATGCATGATGTCAATTGGGAATGAGTCTGGAAAACATGTTGCTTGTAAATCAAACAATATACTGCGTCCTTTTATTCCTAATATATAATAAAAATTAACAAGTATTTTGATATTAATTATTTGCAATATAATTAGTTAGATTTATAATTACCAAATTCTACTTCTAATTTATGTCGTTCTTTATTTGAATTTGCTCTAACCAATTGCTGAATTCGCTCTTTAAACTGTTCATGATTTCGTATAGGTAAATTATCAGGATCATATTGATTATTGCTTTCTTCTCCTATAGGTGCCATTGTTGGAAAATATACATGATTCATATAAATACCACGAATATCACAATATCTACATCCCTTGTATGAATTATGTCCCGTGAGATTCATAAGTTTTGTTACCCCTGGAGTATCCCCAGACCAGGATATAACATGTGCACGTAATAAAAAGGTCTCATTTTTAAATCCATCATAACAACTAATACCATCTGCAAATTATAAAAATAAATAGTATTAATATTCTAATTTACTAAGAATAATAATAAACAAAAATAACATACCTTCTAAATCCTTTAGTTCATTAACTATTGGATACATAAATGAATTGAAAATTTTAGGTTCTTTTGGGCCTGGAATTATTGATGTTATCATAAGATTTTCTTTTTTAACACGATTTTGTGGACATATATTTGCATTAATCATAAGAACAACCCAACAATCGTCTGTTTTTTGACGAAAAATTTGGTATCCATCCACTGCTCCAATTAAAGCTACATCTCTTTCATCATCAAAAAATCCATGCAACAAAAGTTCTTGATATCTTTTACCATCAAATATATCCCCGATTTTAAAATCTTTATTATTATTGTAAGTATAATTTGCACGATATCTCAACTCCTTTGAACGTTCAGGATTTTGATATTGGATTATAAGGCTATCTTTTATTGAAAAATAGGCCATCTGGTATCGTGAAATGCGTTTTTTATTCTCTGATATATTCTGGAATCTCGGCTCTTTGCAATATTCACATTGAATATTATCTTTAAATTGTCCAGTATACGCACAGCATGAGTTAACACACATATCAATCCATATTGGCTTTAAGTTTACAATAGATTTTAGAACTTTTTGAACTTGATACTGACTTATATTACCTCCATTAACTGCCAACATAGTTTGTTGAAAAGCTTCATCTGTCAAATTGCAACGTGACTTGACATTAAATAATCTCAAAGCACAAGCCATTTCATCTGATAATTGTACATCAACTATATTTAAAATAGTTAATAAATCTTGATTATAATAATTAACTATTCAATTATTTGACATAATACTTACTATTTACGTTATTATCAGAAAATTCACTTGAATCAGAAATCTCATCTTCAGATTCAACAGATTCAAAAAATTCATTTACGCGTTCAACAGATTCATCTAAATCCAAAAATTCATTTGTATATTCAACAAATTCATTTGTATCTAAAAACTCATTTACGGATTCAGCAGGTTCACTTGAGTTAAAATCAATACCAGGGTTCGTTAAAAAGTCTTCATTTGTATAAGACATTTCAGCCAGTTCACTCTCAGACCTTTAAACAATATACAGTTAAAATTAGACTGAAAAAATAGCCTTCTCAAAGCAAATAATTTACCTTTTTAAGCTGTTAGCAATAGGAATACCAGTAGTAGGTACTAGACCACTTGAACTTGATGTATCTAAAAATATATCTGAGGAGGCTATATCTAAATTTTGCTCTTTTATTCTATGCCTCCATAAGGTAGTATGGTGAAGAAATTTTCCACCTGCTACTGGACACTCATTTTTACAAGCAGAGCAACTACAAAGTTCCTTAGACATTAGAAATTGTAAAATTAAAACACAAGTACACAATGATAAGTTACATAACGCATTACTTTTTATTATAAATTGATCATGCTGTAGCACCATAACAAACCTTAAATGATATGCATTATCCGATCAGCAGATCATCTTTTTTTATTTTATTTTCACTCTCTAAAAATTTTATAATTTAAAAATATCTATCTATCTTAAAAAAAAAACCATTTACTTATTTAAAAAATGAAATAAAAAAAATTCTTTTTTATATTTAGAGACAACAGAGACAAGGAAACTAGAAATTTGGTAAAAGGCTTCCTTAAACTTTCACATTTCTTTATGAACCGTTGCTAACGTTTTGTTTTATTCTTTAGAATTCGGCTTCTTTGGATGTAGGGTATTGTTTTTATGTAGTTTCTATGAAACTAACTTTAAGAAACGTTTGCTAACGTTCCTTTCTTTTCTTTAGGTTTCTACAGACTATTCAAAACACGTAGCCATGGATTTTCTTTCATTGTTTCTTTGAAATTAGCTTTAAAAAACGTTTACTAACAGTTTTTTTCTTTTTTTGTAGATACCTAAGTAACACTTGCCAATCTAAATACCCAAACTATTAAACACCACAGCTATGTATATCTGACAATGGAACCAATAAAACAACATCAGATAATAAAAAGTAAAAGCAGAACAAGATATAGGAGAAATTAATTGCTATAATAAACGACAACCACAGCAAGGGAGCAACGACTACAGGTCCAGCTAAAGTAGGGATATTATATAAAGTAAGTTTTTCAAAAGTTAAAGTAGAGAGACATCAGGTGATAATATGCATTGAGCGATCGTTAGTATATATATTCACTGGTCGAATGAAAGGATCAGGTAAACTTGGTTAATTTAGTATATACAGTGGCCTGCCAAAAGTGACCGACCACCTAAAAATTAATGACATCAGTTATTTTCATTAATAATTTTTATATTTATTTTAAAATTAGAAATATAAAAACCTATTTTAAAGTATTTTTATACTTAATTAATAATAAAATTATGTATAAATATCTAATTTTAATGTTAAAAAAAAAATTAACTTTTTAACCAGAGCAGCTAGAGCAAAATAGATAGCAAAAATCGATTTTTCAACTAAAAATTAGCTTATTTTCAAAAAATCAGAAAGTTTTAATCAGCAGTTCTTGGAAAAATCTGCTTTTAAATCATGAATTTTGGTGAAATTTTATAATTTTTATATGTAGATCATCAATTTTGCCGATTTTTAGGAGGGGATTTCTCAGCAATTACTAATCAAATTTTTCTGATTTTTTGAAAATAAGCTAATTTTTAGTTGAAAAATCGATTTTTGCTATCTATTTTGCTCTAGCTGCTCTGGTTAAAAAGTCAATTTTTTTTTTCACATTAAAATTAGATATTTATACACAATTTTATTATTAATTAAGTATAAAAATACTTTTTAAAATAGGTTTTTATATTTCTAATTTTAAAATAAATATAAAAATTATTAATGAAAATAACTGATTTTATTAATTTTTAGGTGGTCGGTTACTTTTGGCAGGCCACTGTACAGTATATTAAGGACACTTTAAGCATCCCATTATATTTTAATATATTCCTGATGAATTTATTTTTATTGTGTATTTTTTATATAATTAAATAAATAATATTTTTTTAATGTACTTATGGCGCTATTTATTAATCAACTTTTATATTAATACAAAAACATAATTAAGTAAAGGCCACCCATCCAGCCTGCAGATGCGAGCATTAATCAAATCAAATAAATAAGAGTAAGTAAAAATAAAAATAAAATAATAATAAACATAATATTTTAAAAACAATTTCTTACTTCTTCGGTCAGTCTTCTCCTTTGGAATTCGGCTTAAACGGCTTAGGACGTTCGTTTTTCTAGGAAACACCTTCCTGGAACTGGAATTTCGGCTTGAAGGTAAATTAGAGGAGGGATTTCATTCTTTTTGTTTTTTTTTTATTTAATTATTTTTCTAACGTTCCTCTTTATTCTTTTTTGTAGATTTCGGCTTCCGGATATTGGGTAAGTGTGTGGGAGCGCGTTCTTTACGAATTTACTTTGAAGAAACGTACTAACGTTTCTTTTTTAATTCTTTTTTGTAGATTTCGGCTTCCCGGGTTCTTTGGGATATTGGGTAAGTGTGTGGGAGCGCGTTCTTTACGGATTTACTTTGAAGAAACGTACTAACGTTTCTTTTTTTATTCTTTTTTGTAGATTTCGGCTTCCCGGGTTCTTTGGGATATTGGGTAAGTGTGTAGGGTGGTTTATTTACGAATTTACTTTGAAGAAACGTACTAACGTTTCTTTTTTTATTCTTTTTTGTAGATTTTGGCTTTCCGGGTTCTTTTGGATTCTTTTTTTACAGGTATCGGTAAATTGAGCTTCCTGTATCCTGAGACGATAGGATCAGTAAGTTTCGAAATAGTTTATTTTGAAACTTTTTTTTTATTTTGAAGATGCTAACCATTTCTCCTTTTGTCTATTTGTAGGTCTCTTCGATTTTTGGGTCAACTTCTTTCATTTTATTCAGTTCATCCAACATGCAATACAATTAGGGGTAAGTTTCGAAGCTCAACTGAACCTTGAAACTCAAATTTTTTTTATTTCTCTTTTAGAAATGTTAATCAACATTTCTTGTTGCTTTTTTTTTTGTAGGATCCAGAATTGGTTATATGGGGTTTCGAAGGTATATACAGTACCTTCGAATTTTTTATTTTTTTTTTTAATGAAACATTTTTACTAATGGTTTCATTTTTTTCTTTTGTAGGTCCAAGACGCGACTGGATTCCTATTTCGAAGGTATATATATACCTTCGAATTTTACTTTTTTTTTTATTTTTAACGAAAAGTTTTTACTAACATTATCATTTTTTTCTTTTGTAGGTCCAAGATGCCCATTTAGAAACTTTGACTTTAACTTCAGGACTCAGAATCTGGATTCAGAATTTTTTCTTGTGGATTTATTTAACTATGGCTGATTTTATTCTTGTAAGTTTTTAAAGATGGATTTGGGCTTTATTTTCTTTTTTCTTTAGGTGTAGCGAATTTAGCGCTGACTGGAATTTTTTTATTTTAGACTTAACATGGATTTTCTTTGGGTGCGACGAATTTGGAACAATTGGACTTGTTTTTTGGAACAGACTTGAACTTAGTTTCGAATGACCATTCTTCGGCAAGTATGAATTTGGGATAATTTCTTATTTAACATTTCATTAATTTTTTTTTTCTTGATGACATTTTTCAGGTTCCGGCAAGATTTCTTCTTTTTGAAATATGGGAAGTATGATTGTTATGGTTTATGATTGTTATGGTTAATTAGTAGCTTAGAATAGGAACTTTACTATTACTTAATGACTTATTTACGACTCGAAAATAAAATTTTACTATAACTTTAATACAATTATACTATTTAATTACTATCTACATAATATGACTTTAATATGCATTTAATACAATTTGACTATAACTTAAATATACATTTAATATAACTTGACTATAACTTTAACATAACTTTACGATTTCTACAATTTTTGTATGACCAGGTGATGATCTCCTTAATATACATCAACTTTATACATACGATCAACTTAAGCTTATCGTGATGATGTGAAACCATATCGTGGCCAAATCTTGGATATAAGGTCTACAATAAATTTTCGACTTAGTCACGATATGGTTTCGATTATAAAAATTTCTGCAATGTATTTCTTAAGAATAAAAACATATATATTGGTTTATACTCTATCTGGGTTGTCTCGACTCCCCTGATTTTTCACAACACGCTTTTTGTTTTCATTCAAATCTTCGTCCTCTATATCCACAACTTTATCATCTTTCGCGATTGCACTTGATGCCATTGCTGATTCTTCGATTTCATTAATTCTATTACTAAAATTTGTATTCAAGCTGTTGTATTCTTCATTTTCTTCTTTACTTCTTGGTATTGTCAAAATCAAAGGTATTTTGGGACTTGTTAGTGCGCCTTCAAATTGTTCGTCCTTTGATAAAGAATGTGCACTATCATCGTGTTGTCTTTGTATTTCGCAATTTTGTTAGATTTCCGTTCTTACCTATAATCTCATCTTGACTTTTCATCTCTAATTCTTGTCCATCTCTTCTTCCATCATTGATTTGTATATTGCTCTCATTAGGTTTTGTTCGTTGGTAAAATACATCAAGATATATTTCAATTTGTTAACTTTGATGATTTTGGTGAAATGACCTCTGAATTTTTTGATATAAGATTTAATAATCGTATACTCTGTTTTTCCAATTTCATTCTTGTTTAATTTCTTTATCGCTTGCCAAACTCGAAGCTGATACCCAAAAAAGAAATAAAAAAAAAATAAAAAGATTATATTTTTTAATAAAAAAAGTTTCGAAAAAATGAAACTTTCGAAACTTACCGATCCAGCATTAAGGGTCAATACCTAAAAAAAGAAATAAAAAAAAATCAGAATAATTTTTTAAAAAACTAAATAAAGTTTTGAAACTTTCAAACTTACCAATCCAAAAAGCTGATATCTACAAAAAAACTTTTTTTAAACTTCTGTTAAGAGTTAAAAAAAGATTATCATTCAGCACACAAACCATAATTGACTAGTCCGATCAGCCAATTCTTCGTTTTGACTAGTTGATTTTACCAATTGGTCAAAAATATGCCGATTCATATGACCAATATTAAATTATTTTTTTTGAATTAATATTCTTCAACTAATATTTAAGAATATTTCTGGTTTATATCCGATTTGTAATGACTACCGGTAGCTCCTTATTTTACACAAATTTACTCTAATTGGCAATCATGCCAGTTGAACAATGTTTTACCTGTGATAAAAATCTCATGGATGATGTTTGATGAACATTTTTCCCGTTGAGGTTTCAGAAGTTTGGTTAGTTTACTGTTTTTTCATTTGTAACTTTACAAACATCTGTTCCTTTTCTTTTTAGGTTTCAGGTGATGATTTTTTGTTAGTTTTCATTTCGTTTTGACTTTTTTTTTCTTTTTGTCTTCTTTTGCTAACTTTCATCTTTCTTAATATACAAATATTGGAATTGCAATATTAATACATTATATTGTGTTTTATTAATAAATTAATTAAATTAAATTACATTTAAGAATCATAAATAAAATATAAAAATCAGAATTTTAAATAAATAAAGGCATTAATTTGCCGATTTCAATTGATTGATTTGTCAGCCAATTTAAAATTTGGACGAAATGGATTGACTATTCAAAAAATTTTATCTGGAAATTGATAAACATTTTTGAGCAATTGCCATGTTATACAAGCAGATTTGTTTACATTTTGCAAATTTTATGGTAAAAATCAGCAGCATAGCCACTGGTCACATCAGGAATGTGAAACTCCAAATCACGTTATTTTTGCAATGAACTATTAATGCATTGCAATACAGCGTGTGTTTAATCAATTAAAAATATATTTTTTATTTTGAAAAGTTACTTTGCTAATTTAACCGAAATAAGTTGTTAAAAATAATATTTTTGAAGACTAAAAATAAATGAAACCCACTAATATGAAATTGAAACAAAGAAACTAAAAAAAAACCTACTCTCTGGAGTTCCAAGAATTTTCATTAAAACCAGTATAAAAAAACCCATCTTTTAAAATTCGAATTCTATACTAAAAAATACCTCATATAATTATTATTAATATATCTTAAATAGTTAAAAAGAGTCAGATGGTATGACAATTCCTTGAATGTAACCTGTCTTTTTAAACCCAGGTATAAAAAAATATGTGTTCTTTAGATTTTCTGATCAAATTAGTATACCATCAAATGAGAAGTATATAATATAAAAAGTATAGTCTAATACATTTAATGTTTGAATGAACAGTGCGCAGCTCAGCGTGTGACACTGAATTTTATGGTGTGTACAAATAATATTTTGGTAACATAACAAAAATATTAAATTTATTTGATATTAAAAATGATTGAAAATTATCATTACTGATTAAGAAATGCTCACGTTACATAATTCAATTAATTTATACAGATAAATCTTTTATAAATAAAATAGTTTTTTTTAAATAATTTTACATTATATAAATTTGTCTACCAAAAATTAAGTGGGTTTTTTATTATGTGGTTTACTGCTCTGGATTTTACAGTAGAAGGATATTTAGAAAATCAAATTAATAATAAATTGTTTTTATTCTGGCTGATGAAATTTTACAAGTTTACAGTATAGTTGATCACATGTGATATATTCGCTAGGAAGCAATATGACTAATCCATTAAGTTAATATCTTCAGTTTAACAAGTTTTTTAATTACAAAAAATATTGAATAAACCTGATGATTATGGTTAATCTAAATCTCCCAAATTTTTTTTTTTTTTTTTTAATAAATCGCCACATATTTTATTTATTAGTCTTGTTATAAAGCGAGTTTTATGTTGCAAAAATATGCTTATCAGTTATCATTTCTTTAAGTAGAAATTAGCCACTTTTAATATTGCACTAAAAAGGTAAAGCCAAATATTTTTTTTATAAGCCTAAAAATATACGTTACAAAAAAGCAGATTATCAATTGTCATTTCTTTAAGCCATTTTTAATATTGCATTAAAAAGGTAAAGCCAAATATTTTTTTATAAGCCAGAAATAGGCTTATTACTAAAAAAGGCTTATATCACTGGTTTAACTAAAGGGAATAGCTTAAAAAGTATAAGATTAAAATTAATGACAAAGCTTAGTTTGAAAAATAGAAACGTTTTTGTTTACTGTATTTTTATTATAAAAATGATGTATTTTTTCCCTAAACAAAAATTTGAAAAAAATTGCATGAATTTTTCAAGTAATTTTACCATATTTTGTTATAAAAATGATGTATTTTTTCCTAAATAAAAAAACTGTACGAAATCAATCTGAAATAACTTTACCGTATTCTATCATAAAAAAAAAAAAAAAAAAAAAAAAAAATAATAATATAAGTAAATCAAAAAAATATGGATGTATTTACAATTCTTTCGCGATGTCAGGAAGTGATATTCACGAGAAAGGTATTTGAAATATATGTTCTGTTATAAAATATGTAATTTTTCTTAAATAAAAAATTATGAATTTTCCTATACCAGACAAAAAAATATTGCGTGATATTCATGAAATTAGTATAAAGGCTATTAAGGAAGTACATACAACAACCGTAAGAACTTGTGAAAAATTACTTTCCTCTTCGTCCTCCTCCTCCTCATCTACTATGTAAATATTTTTTAATTATTATTTAATTTTTATATTTCAAATGCTAATTTTTTTCAATAATTACTAGTTTATCTCAAACTAAATCAATAAATACAGTATTAAAATGCTCTACTTCTAAATTAATTTCAAGTAAAATTTCACATTATTTAATCCATTTATTAAATATTTATTTAAATTTAAATTAAATTATTAATAAACTTTATATAGAAACGTCAGAAGTAGAAGATCCAAAAAGCGATAAATGTACGTATTGCTTTAAAAGAGGTCATTGGCTGAAGGATTGCCAAGAAATTCCTGATAGATACAAAAGTTGCTGTTTCAAGTGTTGGAGGTCAGATTCGCACAAAATCACCGAATGCCCATCAATTACTAATAAACAACCTCTGTGGTTAAAGAAATAAGGTAAATTTTAGAATAATTAGTAATTGGATATTTTAACAGTTAACAAATATTAATTCTTAATTTTTTTTTTATTTCGAATTCACAATTTTTTTCAATCTCAGGTTTCTCTCTATTTCTCTCTATTTCTCTCTATCTCTCTAAAACACTCCATCTCAATTTTTTTCCGATTTTTATTTTTTTTGAACTTCGTCCTCCGAACGACAATTTTTTTTTTGTAATTTTTTTTTGATTTATAATCAATTTTTTTTTCATTTTTATCAGTAGGATGCTGATAATATATAATTTTGGCGGTGTCCAAAATTTTTTTTCATTTATATCAGTAGGATGCTGATAATATATAATTTTGGCGGTGTCCAAAATTTTTTTTTTTCATTTATATCAGTAGGATGCTGATAATATATAATTTTGGCGGTGTCCAAAATTATTTTTTTCATTTATATCAGTAGGATGCTGATAATATATAATTTTGGCGGTGTCCAAAATTTTTTTTTTACAATTTCTAATAAATAAAATATTTTTCAAATAAATAAATTTTACACAAATAAGTTTTCCGATTGATAAACTAAGACGTGATCGTTAAGAAAATTCATATAATGATCTGATTAGGGATAATTGAAAATATGGCAGGTTTTTATATTACATAAATTAAAAATTTTGAATAGTTGTTTGTTGGAATCGAACCAACTGGAACAAACATTCCAAACCATTAACAACAAGTATTATAAGGAATGAATACCGAAAGCAAACATTAATAAAACATCTCTAAAAAAAAATAAAATTTCAAAATGATTCATTCTGCTATCCAGAAAATTGAAGACCAGATCTACAAAAAAATAAGAAAACATTAGAAAACGTTTTCTAAAGAAAGAAAAAGTTTCAAAATGATCAGAATTTAACGCTTATCGCCCAATAAATGAAAACCAGAACCTATAAAAAGAAAAAGGATACGTTAATAAAATGATTTCCTAAAAAAGAAATTAAAGGAACGATAATTAAGTTTCATTTTAAAACTTACCATCAACTGTTACCCAATAATCAAAACTCTGAAATCTACAAAAAATAAAAAGAAATATCAGTATGTTTCTTAAAACTAATGGTGAACTCCATTCCCCCCTAAAAAAAATTTACCATTAGCGGATTAAATTCAACCTTTTGGTGAAACCAATACACCTGCAAAAATAATAAAAGAAATGTTAATACGTTTTTCTAAGTAATATTAAAAAACTCTTTCTCAACGGACATTTTCAAGGCCAGAGTTCATTCCTATAAAATAAATAAAAAAGGACGTTATAAACCGTTTCTAATAACAAAAAAAGCAAAAAAAAAATAAGTTTTGCAACAAAATGTTGCGAAACTTACCGAATCCAAATTCAAGTTTGACAACGGGACTACAAAAAATAAGAAAAAGAAATATTAGAATGTTTCTAAATCAAAAGTGTTCAAATGTGAAGCTGAAAGACCCACAAAAGAAAGAATAAGAAATGTTAGTAATGTTTCTTAAAAATAAAAGGCAAAAGTTCTAAAGCAAAAGACTTCGAAACTTACCATTTCCAAACCATTCAAACGTGAAGCCAAAAGACCTACAAAAGAGAAAATAAAGAACGTTAGTAACATTTCTTAAAAAACAAAAGTTTTGAAGCAAAAGGTTTTGAAATCTATCATTTCTGAATCGTCCAAATGCGAAACTGAAATCTACAAAAGAGAAAACAAGAAACGTTAGTAAAGTTCACTAATGTTCCTTAAATCCCCATTTTTTTAATTTTTACCTTCCATTGAATCTGATCCGTTCTCTATTTATTATCCAAGACGTCCAGATAGGTACCTACAAATAAAAAAAAGGAACGTTAATAAATTTCCTAACATTCAGCTTCTCGCGCCTAATTCTCACCTAATTCATGAGATTCTGGCTCCAAAAGTGGTGTTTCCATTCGTCCCTAGTCCGGTAGCACCTATAACTTTCTTGGTATTTGTTTTATTAACCGAAATAAATAATATATAAAACAAAGAAAAAAAAATATATATATATATATATAAATAAATTCAGTTTAAGATAACCAAAATGCAAAATCCAAAGTAAAACTAACTATTTCTTTTTTTTTAATTCTTCTTGTTACTGTTGTAAAGCTTTTTTTCTATATTGTAACTCTTTTGCTTTTATTTCCTCCAGTACCTTATTAAAGGTCTTTCCAGCTAGGTTCAGAAAAAAAATTTTTTATGAAAAATAAAAAATGCGGATAGGGGTATATAAGAAATTTGTGTCATACAGGCGGTACTGCCCATTTCTGAGTTTTAACCTTACCATTTTAAGATGTAGCTTTTTTTTTTTTTTTGATTTTGTTCGGTAAATTTTGAATCAAAACTTACCCTTTTTTTTTAAAAAAAAAATATTACTCTTTTTGGTATCGGTTCCTTATGATGCAGGTTATGATGTTAGTGATTCTAACGCTTTTGCCGTGTATGATCAATATGGAATGCATCCACAATATTCCCAATTCTGTCCTGATTATGGTGCTGGTTATCCTGGATCACTCCTCTCCAAGGTCAAGCTTCACCGTCTCTACCTCCACAGCCTTTGAGTCCTTATTTTGCTGCTACGGTGCGATTTAACAATACAATGGGAAGTTTCGAAGGGAATCGATCGCAATGCTAAACGTTCGATAAATGAATCAAATAAGAGATCTTTGATAGTCATTGAAGATACAACGTCTACTTCCGATAATGTAGAGATATACAATGATCCACCAAGGGACACACAAACTTCACGATATCATATCCCTACACAAGAGAGCGGTTTTGATTTGCCCTTACCAGAATGAAAGATCAAGCGCTTCTTTTTGCAAAAAAATACTTCTTGTATCTTTGAGCATACAATCTTTAGAGAGCATTAAGTTGTATTTTAGGATGAGCGGGTAGAATTAAGTTGTGAAGGGGCAGCTTTAGATCTTGGATTTGGTGAGTTTTGATTAGAAACTTACATTTTTATTTGTATTTTTTTTTTTTAAATTCTTCTCTTTTTTACAAGGTAATTCATACGAGTTACTTCCAAGACGTGGCTAAATATAATTATACTTTCAAGTATGGAAAACTGGTGCGTTTTGGAAAAAAGTTGGTATATTTCAAAGACAAAACTCAACTGGACGCAGCAATCACTTTGGATGGAGAAGGATAAAGACCACGGCTGGACTATTCATGGAAAGGGTCTTAACGGTGCAAATTTGGAACTCTCGGAAGGGGGAACTGGAAGTGCTCTCGTAAGCTCTCGTCCATCGAGCAAACACAGAAGTAGATCTTCAACTCAAAAGTTGAAAGAGAATGTAACGCTAGGGACTGTAGACGTGAAAGACACGAAAAAGGTAGTAGATACGATAAATAAGTTTAGACAAAATGTGTTGGATGAAAGTTTTCCACAATTCGTATCGAACCCAATAAAAGAGTACGCTTTCCCGGAACAAGTGGTAGAGATAGTTAAAAACTTCAGAGATGGATAAAGAAAAAAGCCCAGAAAACCAACCGATGGTCCACAACACGACACCAAAATTGGATTTTACGGTAGAGGATAAAGAAATGAAAGAATGGATGGACTTTTTCGAGTTTAATGAACTAAAAGTTATGAATAAATCGGAGGAAAAGAAAAGTATAAAGCAAGTCACTCCAGTAGAAATACACGAATATAATACCGTTAACGCTTCATGCTTGACAAGGAAGATTGTGTAAAAGAAGGTAAGAAGCGAATTATCGGTAAGCAAGGGGATAGAAGTAAAGTGGAGGATGAAGAAGGCAGGGAAGAGCGGAAAACATTTAGAAGTAGAGGTAAATCGAAGTCGAGAAATCTTAGAGGTAGAAGAGCTAGAGGTAGAGGTAGAGGAAGAAGATATTAGTCGCAGGTATAATTATGAGAGTTTTTTTTTTTTCATATAGTAAATAGCACTTTGGTTACGTTAGTCGTTACTTCGCTTGAAATGTGAAGTTTTGGTATGGAGAGATTTAGTATAGAAATTGTTTTTTTGTACTAAATTTCAATGTATTTTTAGTTTTTTTTAACAAGTATTATGGTGATCTACATTTTACGAATAAAATAAAAATGTGTTTACAAAAAAAAAAATAAATAAATAAATTCTTCTCTTTTTTTTTGTAGGTATCAGTTTCTTCAGCTTTGGAATTTGGATTGCCGGTATAATAAGTTTTGATTTAAAACTTCAAAACTTACATATTTTCTTTAATTTTTTTATTAGTTTTTACTTTTTTTGTAGGTATCAGTTTCTTTCTTTTTTTTTGTAGGTATTCAGATTTTTTGGCGTTAGACTACTTATTTCTCGACGTTGAACGGCACTTTGGACTTTTTTCTTTTGTAGGTCAGCGTCTTGGAGTAGTCTCTCTTGGAATGGTAAGTGTCTTTTTGGTGGGTATGGTGATGTTAATGGCATTATGAAATTATACTAACGCCATTTTTCTTATTTAAAAAAATTTTTTATTATAGGACCTTCAGAACACTTCGGAACCAAAGAAACTCCCTGAAAGGTATTTATTAAAAGTAGGAGGGGAGTTTTTTTTAAATTGAACACTAGTAAGCTTTATTAACATTCTGCTTTCTTTTTTTTTTATTGTAGGACCTATAAAACGGCCAGAAAAGAAGTGGAGATGGTTTAAATTGGAAATAATATTAGTAAATAATACTAATGTATTTCTTTCTTTTGTATGTTTCAGTAGGTTTTATTGGATAGATAGTATATACATATGGGTAATTTTAGGATTTATCAAATTAGTAAATTAGTTTATTGATAAATTGTATTTTAAATTATTGATAATAAATATAATATTTGTAATCAATTCAAATAATCGGTACATTTCTATTAAACAATTAATTACAATTGGAAGGTTCTATAATATATAAACTAAAAAATTAATAGCAATCGGAGATACTGATAATCAATTTGACAAATCAGTTATTTATTTTTTAATATTATAATTGGTTATGTTCTGATTTGACCATCAATATTCTCCCAACCGGCATCCGATCAGCGCCAAATAAGGATGACTATTGGCATCCGATTGGATGTTGATTTGCCAACATTTGACCTGTGTAATACTATTAAACTATATTGCTGATATATCATATCATTTGATCTGTGAAATTTATTAATAATAATTAAATTTAACATTTTGCGCATGTATAAAATCAATAATAAGATAATAAGAATTTTAAAAATTTAGCAATGCGCACATTTTTTTAATATGCGACCTTGTATTATATTAAAAAAACTGCAAAACATTTCGCAGTTTTTGCAAGTTTCACAATTTTCATTTTTTTTTAGTTTTTGAGAAACGTTTCAATTAGTTTCTCATATGTCAGCTGGCTAAACCTCTAGGTTTCGCCCAGCAACCTTACTTGCCAGTTCAAAATGACATAGTCCAAAACAACCAATATTGCCATGATATCTCCTGACCCGATATTCCATCATTCGACCGGTGCATATTGGTTCTCTACAAAAAGAAAAATGAAATGTTAAAATGTTTCTTTAAGTAAAATCCCAATCAAATCTTCTATAGCAACATACCCAAGTTCTCCAAGCAATGTTGCTCTAACCTGTACCTTTCAAAGTGTTCAGGTAGGAGGTATCTACGGTTAAAAAAATGAAAGAAACGTTAGTAAAGGTCCTACTAACATCCCCTAACTCCCAATTCCCAGTGCCTACCTTTCATTCAGAATCCAAAGACAATATCTTTGTTCAGACGTTCAAGTAGGTACATACAAAAGAAAAAAAGACAGAAGAAATGCTAATAAAGTTTATTAACATTCCCTAAATCACTCCCTGGTTCCCACCTTCCATTGAAACCGATCTCAAGTTCTGAAGTCAAATATCCAAGGCGTCTGGTAAGTTACCTACAAAATAAAAAGAAATCAAAAGGAACATTAGTAAAATTATACTAATGTTCCTTAAATTCTGCTCTCAACGCTCAACTCCCACCTAATTGAGATTTTGGCTTCAAAGTGGTATTCTTATTCCAATTATATTTGTCCATATTCTGGTAGTATTTAAAACTTTTCTTTAAAAAATTATTTTTTTTCGCCTTTTCTTTTCCACCGGCTTAAAAAAAATGAAAAAAGAAAAAAATGTTTTTTTTTAAAAAAAGATCGAAAGATTTATCAATCTCAAATGGGGATAAGTTTTTATATCCACTGTTAAAAAGTCCAAAATATGAAACTGGTATTTTATTAAATCAAAGATTGATCTTTACCAAATCAGAAAAGATATGTATCATATTACGTCATACTGTAATTATATTAAAGAACAATCGCGTATCGCATAACTGAAATTTTTTGTTTATGAATTATGAAATACTACTGCTAATAGTTTCCTGAATCCTGACAAGGAGCCTAACAAGCTGATAAGTACTGATAGCATAAAAATTTACATTTGATATTTTTCTTTGTGCTTTATTTAGTAAATCATGATACGTGTCATGATATATGATATGATTTGTGATCAACAATTTATTTGTTTGTAATACCATTCTCAATCTCCGATTATAAATAATGAATAATTTATTTACTTGTCTGTTACATGATTTTTTTTCTCATCAGATAATTTATTTTTTACGTTTTTGACACATAACGTGCATAACATGCAGTAACATGACTTTGTTTTTATAAATCTATAAGTCTCGCGTTATATTGTTTCTCTCAGGCTTTACTTTTACCTGTTTAGCTGTTTATTTTAATGCTCAAAACAATGAAAAAACGAAGTGGAAATATTAAAGGAAAAGCTGAACAACCTTTAGTCAGGTAAATGCGAACCGAAGAAGAGCCTAGACAATTAGCCATTACAAAATTACCAATAATACCAATTGCAGAAACTTTTAGTCAGGGTAGATATTTTCTTATTTGTAACTATAAGAGTTATCTAACTGTTATCTAACTGTTATCTAACTATGAATTGTAAATAGTTTTCTATTAATAGAGGTGCAGACATCTATAGCTTCAAGAATATTAGACTTACAAAATGAGCTGCAATTATTGCAAAAGAATTTGCATGAACAAAATGTATGATATTTGCATTTGAAAAATAATTTTAAATATCACAATAATTTTCACTAATTTTATTATTATAAAGGACTTGACAAACACAATGAATCCTTTATCTAGAAGAACTTCATTAATCTCGTTGGATTCAATGTCTCAATTAGAAAGTGTAATTATATTTAGATATTACCAAATACTTAATTTTTTTATTTAACTTTTAATAATAATTTTAAATATCAATGGCAGGCTCCTTTATCTAGATCCTCATTATCTTCACACACTCACTCAAAATCTCAACCCCAAATATCTCCACAAAGACCAGCATCGCAAACATATTCTCAACCTCAATTGCCGTCATTACAAGATCATTTGACTCATAATTTAAATGATTTAGAATCATTAAAAATTTCTCAGTCAGCTAAAATTGATAATACTGTTATAATGAAACCGCCAAAAAATCAGTCAAAAAAAGTTTGTGGAGCATTAAATTTACCAACACCAGTATATAAAGCATATCGGGTTAGTGAAAATTGTTGATCTTTATATTAACCTATTTCATACCATATTACTTATATTAATAATCCTATTATCTAGGGAAATCTCCGTGATCTTATTAAAGCTGGATTATTAGATCTAAATTCTACTTGGAAAAAGCAGGATACAAAACAAGTTCTGCGATTAATCAATAAGGTGATAAACAGAATTCAAGTTGGAGTGTGTTAAGGTTTATTTATTTATAATAATCAATTATTAGTTCAAAGCAAAAAACCCTTCCTTTCCAAAAACTGCAAACAATTGGGCTATTAAAGAAATGGCACGTGGAATTATCAATAATAGACGTAAGTAAATGTTCCACAAAAAAAGAATATATATTTTTTTGAATTTTTTAGCTTGACTTGATAATCAAAAACATATTTTGTTGTTTCAGGAGAATATCATAGTTCAGCAAAAAAGAAAAGACGAGAAAATCGGCAGTTTGAACGTACTCAACAAAAAGCATCCAATAAAGTTAGTTAATTCAATCTTTTAATTTGTTTGGTCATTATTCAACAATTTGTTTTATTATTTTAATAGGTTTTTGCTAAAGACTTGCCTGAAAATAAAAGGCCAGAAAAAGAATCAAATAAAGAAAATGACGACGAAATATTAACACAATCTGAATATGCTCAACAAAAAATGTCCAGCAATAAGGTAATAAAAAAAATAAAAAAAGATTTTTTTTAATTAACCAATGTCTTTTCATTAAAAAAAAAAAATAAAAAAGTTTTTTTTTAATTAAAAACGTCGAACCCGACGTCTTTTCATTAAAAAAAAAAAAAGTTTTAATATTACACAATCTTTAATTTCATTTGGTTTATTATTTAAACCATTTGGTTTATTATTTTAATATATAGAATTCTGTTAAAGACTTGCTTAAAGACAAAAGGACAGAAAAAAAATTAAAAGAAAATGAAGGTGAAATATTTAAACAGTCTGAATATGTTCAAAAAATAGTCAACAATAAGGTAATGTTTAACATAGCCTTTAATTTCATTCAGTTCATTATTGTAACTATTTTGTTTATTGCTTTTAATAGGTTTCTGCTGAAGATTTTATGCCTAGAGACTCTGATTCTGATTCTGATTTTTATGAACAACAATTTAAATATGGCCCAGAAGGTGGAGAGGTAATTTAATTGAATTCATTATAAGTATTATTAATATATATGTTTAAATCTATTGATTTTTTACTAGTCTAGTACACGTGCACAATATTTAAAACCACTAAGTCATAATCCAATTGAAGAGGAATCTTATAATTCATATCAGGAATCAGAAGTCTCGGAATCAGAAGTCTCAGAAGTCTTGGAATCGGGAGTTGAGTTTGAGTCATCAGCCAACTTGTATAATCCAATAAAAAGACCTGCGAAAAAACCCCTGAAACAGCCTGAACAACCTGTGAAAAGATCTGTGGAAAAATGTGTGAAGAAATCAATAGAAAAACCCCAGAACAATTTGTAAGAAAATCTGCAAAAAAGCCAACGAAACGACCCCTGGAACAACCTGAACAACCTGTGAAAAAATCTGCAAAAAAGCCAACGAAATGACCCCTGGAACAACCTGAACAACCCAAACAACCTGTGAAAAAGCCCATGAAATAACTCCCGGGACAACTTGAAAAACACGTGAAAAAATTGGTGGAGAAACCTGTGGAACAACTTGCGAAAAAACCTGTGAAACAATCCGCAAAACAACCCTCAGAACAGCCCCCATTAAAAAACAAAAAAAGATTCAGATTCACTGAATCTGAACAGCAATCATCAAAGTATTTTTGTGAGCCTGATGGTAATCATCCAAAAAGAAAATCTGCTAGGTTAGCCGCCAAAGAACAAGCCGGTAAGTAAAATTTTACAAAATGTTTATTATTATAATAGCATAATATTCGATTAATATATATATTTTTTTATTTATTATATACAGCAGTGAAATGGCAGTATTAGATAACTAATTTCACTAGTTCTCATTTATAATCCTATAAATAAAGTTAGATATTGTCTTATAAATTCTACATAGTCTGATTTTTTTTTAATAAATAATATTGATAAAAGTAAGACCATACGATACATAAAAATAAGACCGTATAATACAAATAATATTGATAAAAGTAAGACCGTACGATACAAATAATATTGATAAAAACCGGACGAAATCCGTTTGTCAAAATTGGGCAAATGATGGACATATCCGTGACAGAAACCGGACGAATTCCTTATTTATGAACGTCCGGAATATTGCAATATTCTGGACGTTTGTAGATCCTGTTTTTGTCCGGAAAATGTAGACAGACAATTTCTAATCAAAAACCGGACATTTTTTTTTTATAGGGCTAATGGCCATGTGATTTTCTTAAAAGAAAAGTTCATTGCTTGTACCAGTTGGTATAGTGTATGTATCATTTTGCGTGTGTCCTTCATTTCACGGTCAATAAAAATTGTTGATTGATTAATGTTTTTTTTTCTTATAAATTATAAACATCAAAGGTTAATGCAATGCCCATCAAGTTGATTGATAATATGGGGTTTGATGATATGCCCATGATTGGTTTAAATGTCATAATTATGGGACTAACTACCAAGATAGTCAGAAATGTTGATAACTAATTGTCATGCATGCATCCGAACAACTCGCTTATGGCTCAAGGCATATGCAATGGGATGATTGGTGTGATCACAGATGTGGACCCTCAAAATGAATGTACATAAGTTACTTTCTCTGTGGAAGGATCCATAGTTGATGTGGACATATACAAGCACACCCACTATTTTGAAGCTCAATGGATTTAATTGCCGTCATACTCAGTTCCCTTCAGTTTGCAAAACTGCTTTGCCCTCACTGTACACAAATACAAGGATTGATCTTGCCAAGGGTCTGCCTAACTTTGGATGGAAATATAAAGCACCTGGACAAGTGTATGTCACCCTTAGTAGTAGGTGTACGATGTGGAATAATATTGATATATCCCACCTTGATGCTTTAGCGTATATGACTGATTGGAATGTCATTTGAAGTATCAGAGGTTGACCAACATCTCTATCTCAAATCCTTACCTTTTTACTGATTGTGCTGATTTTGACATATACACACATATTTCATATAATTTTGATTTCAATTATTACATTATTTATTTTTTTAATCATATTTATTTAAAATGTGCAATATTTGTTAGCCATGTAAAATAAGACATATAATAAATATATTTATAGGATCAAATTATAATCAATATTCAATAGTTTATTAATTTAATAAAAAAAAAAACTCTATTGCATCTTTTCCAGAGAATTTAAATTACAACAAAATCAATTCCTTAAAATTAATTTTTAATTCATTTGTCGATAATATAAAATAATATATAATATTATGATATCTAAAAATGTTAAATCTATCATAAAACAAACTCCTTGACACGTATATGTATGAGTTTAAAATAGTTAAAATTGGTGGCAACAAAGTTTACCTGGTATTTAATATGTTGGGACTAATTCAAGTCAAATAGATAAATAGGATTAATTTTTAATTTCTTGTTGATTTAAAAGAACATCTAAATTCTCTTGAACATCTAAACATCCTGATTCTACAACCTTTTTATACCAATAAATAGCGATTTCTACATTTTGTTCAGTCCCTTCACCTTGTTCATATAAGTATGCAAGACTTATTTGCGCATCAATGTTTCCTCCTTCTGCTGCTATTTTATATATCTCAAATGCCTTTACTTTATCAATATCAGTTCCAATTCCTTTTTCATAAGACTGTCCAAGTTTATATTGAGCGTCAATAAATCCTTGATCAGCTGATTTTCTATAAAACTCAAATGCTCTAACTTTATTTTCCAAAACACCTTTACCCAATTCATATAGTTCGCCTAATTTATATAATGTAAGTTTATTGTCATCTTCTGCAGCTTTGTGATACCAATAATTAACCTTATCTAAATCATTTGCCATTTCTTCAAAATTATCTTTGAAGTTACTGCCAGCTGCCTTATTATATAATTCAAACCCTTTTTCTCTATCAACTTCAGTTCCAATACCATTTATATAGCAATATCCAAGGTAAAATTTAGATTCCTCATCTCCATCTTCGGCTGATTTCTTAAAATATTCAAATGCTTTAATTAGATCTTTATTCACACCATTTCCTAATTCATAACATTCACCTAAATTATATAATGCTGTTTTACATCCACCCTCTGCTGCTTTGTTATACCAATCAATAGCTTTTTCTAAATCTTTCTCAATTCCTTTACCACATTCATATAAATAACCAAGGTTAGTTTGTGCAAGAACATACTCTTTTTCAGCTGCTATTTTATATAATTCAAATGCTTTTGTTTTGTTGATTTCTGTTCCAATACCTTCGTCATAACAATATCCAAGTTGATATTGAGCATTTACATCTCCTTTTTCTGCTGCTATTTTATAATATTCAAATGCCTTCTTTTCATTTTTTTCCACTCCTATTCCATCTATATAACAATTGCCCAAATTATATTGTGCTATTTTGCTTCCATTTTCTGCTGCTTTTTGGAAGTAATAGAATGACCTTTCATAATTTGATTTTAATAATAACTTTCCAACATAATAAAAACCAAGTTGACTTAAACTTTTGTGAAATAATATTTTATAAAATTTAGTTTTTTTAGAACTGTCTATTTTAATTTCTACTTTTTTATTGTAATAGTTCTTGAGATTTTTTTTTGCTATTATACTTCCATTTTTTGTTGCTTTTTCATACCAACATTTTGCTTGTATCTTATCTATCTTTGTTCCAATTCCTTTATAAAAACAATTGCCAACATATAATTGAGCATCAGCAATTTCATGCTTAGCTAAGCTTTCATAATTTTTAAATGCTATAGTCTCATTTTTTTCAACTCCTATTCCTAATCTATAACAATGTGCAAGATAAAGTTTTGCAGTGGTATTTCCATTTTTGGTTGCTGAATTATACCAGTAAAATGATTCTTTTACATTTTGAGTAATTCCAATACCATATTCATAACAATTGCCTAAATAAAATTTCCCAATAATACTTCCATTTTCCACAGATTTTCGATACCAATGAAATGCCAACTTTTTATCTTTTTCAGTCCCATATCCATCATAATAGCATTTAGCAAGATATACTTGTGCAATTGGATAATTAGCATTTGCTGCTTTTGAAAACAATTCAAATGCTTTAATGACATTTTCTCCTACACCAATATTATAATAATAAAATAATCCAAGAAACCAAATATATTGTGTTTTATCCCGATTATTTAATAACCATTTTATAAGTTGATCCGTAGCTTGATTTATTTGTAACATATGTTTAATTATTAATTGTTTAGCTTGATCAAATGTAGTACCTCTATCATGTTTTTTAATTATATAACTAATTAACTTATCGGCAAACACTCCATGTATTGACTCAATTAGATTAACTGATGATAGGGAAGATTGATCTGATGAAATTGATGAGCTATGTAATTGATTTTGTGAATTTGTCCTACTTTCACATGTATTAATATTTAATGATGCAATATATGACATAGTATTTAGATTTGATATAGTATTTAATATTAAACTATTATCAATATTTAGATCTTTGTTTATATCCATGATTACCTTGCTTGATTCTGAATTTGATTTATATTTTTCCAATGAAAAAGAATTTTTTTTGTATTCATTGAAGTTACAAATAATTATTTCGGAAGAAACAGTTGCTTTAAGTGTTAAAAAAATTTCTCGCATATTTGGGCGCTCATTTGGTTCATGTTTCCAACATTCTAATGAATCAGTAAATAAAATTAATATTCACGATATATTGACATACTAGTACTAAATTATATTATATAATTATTACCTGTATATAAGTTACAATATTCAACGGGAGTTCCATTAATAATCTCTTCTCTTTTACCATTTAATATAGACAACATTAAACTTGGGCCATAATTAACTTCACGAAAAGGTTTATGTCCACTTGAAATTTGCCATAATAAAACTCCGATACTATATACATCAGATTTTTTATTTAATTTATATTTTTCTTTATCGTCGAAACTTTTTGGGTCCACATAAGGTATTACGCCAAGTACTTTTGATGCTGACGACGCTTCAACAATTTTTTTTGATAAACCGAAGTCTGCTACTTTAATATTTTTCTGATGTATGAGTATATTGTTTCCATGCTTTAATTACATAAAAAAAAAAAAAAATTAAAGTCTATGTCATAGTAAACAAGTTTAAATAAGAAAAAAATTATTACCAAGTCACGATGAATAATATCTTCTTCATGTAAAAATTCTATAGCACTAGCCAGCTGCGACGCTAAGTGATATTTGTCATTCCAATCAAGTTCACTAAAATACTCGTTTAAATAAGTATTTAATGTGCCGCTATCAGCGTATTCCAAAACGAAAGAATACTTTTGGTTTACGTCTAAATAAAAAAAAAAATTTTAATAGAAGGAAACGGTTTATTACGTAATATATAATATATTTAATACCTACCGAATTCCATCTTTGTGATTCCATATAACCGTATAATATTTTCATGATAATCAATATTTCGGTGTAATTTTAACTATATAAAATTGATCTTAGTTATTATCCAATAAAAGTTTTTTAAAAATATTTATTGTATACAACATATACCTCTTTTAAAACTTCTTTAAGAGNTTTTTTTTTTTTTTGAAAAAATATACCATTTTTTGGTTCGTACAGACAATTTTTTTCTATTTTTTTTTCCTTGATTTTCAAACAAAAAATATCGATCTTAATTGATTTCTTAAACCAAAATATTTTAATTTTAATTTTGCTTTTTTAAGTTGATAATTTATTTTTTATTATTCTTTTTTTTTTTTTATTCACTTATTAATTATTAATGATTTATTTTGTAAATTTTGAAAGTTAACTTTTTCAAACTTTTATTTTCAAGATAATTAATAATTCTTAAAAAAGATGCACACAGTAAATTATATTTAATAAAACATCTAATTTGTTAATTACGAAAAAGTTCCCGAGCATAATAAAATTTTTTCTTTTTTTAGTTTAGCAAGATAAGATATAGGTAAGTTCAGGAACTTCTTACATATTTAGTATATTTATATAGTACGAAAGGTTCAAATTTTTGCAGTCTAAATAGTCTTTCTTTTTTTTTAAATAGTAACGCGTTTATTAATTATTTGAATTTATAAAATAAATTACATAATTAAAATTAAACACCTAGAGCTTGAAAAATTCAAACCCTATAACTAAGTATTTATCGAACTATAACTAAATCTATCGTAAAAATTAAAAATTTCACACTATATCTAAATATCACTAAACTATATCTAAACTAGATCGTTCGTTAATTTGATTGTTGTACTTTGCTAACAACCTAAAATTTTATAAATGTATTGTAAAATTATTGTCACAATAAATTGTGTACAAACCATGATAAGATACTTGTTATTGGGTTTGTAGGGACATTGTACAATATGCTTCTATTACAAATTTTGATATTAATTTATTGATATGTAGTAAGATTGATTACAAAAATATATAGTGGAAAAGCGTTGTAAAATTAATTATAAAATGGAAATTGTAAATAGATCGTAAGATAAATATTAAAAATTTATTATAAAACGATTTGTTATACATGTAATGTAAATTTAAATAATAAAAATAAATTGTGTAATTAATTATAAAATATATATATATGTGTGTAATGAATAGGAATAAGGCAATTTAAGAATCATAAACTCTCGTAGCCACGCTCAATTAAGGAAATGTATTACTAGACCTATGCTAAAGATGACTTTAGCAAGGCTTTCTTTGTGAATTAAAGAAATTTCATACACCTTGCCAGCTGGTGGGAAAGCCTATGATTTTAACCCAAATCTCCAAATCCCAAATCCCCAAACATCTAGAGACCTGAATCATCTAAAAAAAAGAGGAAATTGAAATGTTGTAAAATATTTCATTGAAATGCATAATTAGAACAGAGTCTCACACTCTCACCAAATTTTCCATGTGTTCAAGCCAACCAACTGAAAAGAAAAGATGATGAATGTTAGTGACTATTCGCTAAAAGAAAAAATTTGAAGAAAAAAGTTAAATAACTTACAAAGTTCGCGTCTAAAGAAGCCAATTGTCTAAAAAAAAGAAAAAAGAAAGTTAGTATTTGTTTGTTAAAGTAAATAACTTAGTAAAAAAAAAAATATATCTTACCAAAATTCTGCATCTAAACATTCAAAGAACTAAAGATCTATCTCATTTATAGGTTAGCATTTCATTAAAATTAAACACACTGTAATCTGCATCTCTAAAGATATCCAAAGAAGAAGCCATCTAAAAAAAGAGAAAAAACAAAATGTTAGCAAATGTTTTGTTAAAAAAATAATTAAAAAATAACCATTTCTACCAAATTCCCACACGTCCAAGAATTAAGCCATCTAAAAAAAGGAAATCGAAATGTCAGTATTATGTTTCAATAAAAATAATTCAGTACTAAAAAAAATGGATTATTTTTTTTTATAACTTCAATAAAAATACATACAATACCGTAAAATAATATCTTGTTATCAATATTTTTAACATACTCTAAATTTTTAAACACATGTTTAATTGCTGAACCTTTGTTAAGAAAGAAAAAGCTTGTAGGGAAATATCAAGTCCTAAAGAAATCCACCTAAAAAAAGTAAAAATCAAAATGTTAGTAAATGTTTCGTTAAAAGAATAATTTAAAAGAAAAATAAAATTCCTACCAAAATCTTATGAATTAGCCTAAAGACCAAAGACTGCATACCTAGTTGTCTAAAAAAAAAAGAAAAAAAGAACTAAGAAACTATTCAATAAAAACAATTGAAGAAAAAAAAAATATGAACTTACTGAAATGTAGTGTCAGGAAGATTGAGAGAACCACTTAAATATAAAGAATATTTAAATGGAAAGTACAGGAAAAAAGGACAGGAAGAGGGAAAGAAAGGACAAAGGAAAGGTTAAGAGAAAAGGAAATGAAATAGGATAAAATGATAAAGGATTTGAAATTAAAGGTACAGTGGTAAAAGTTAAAAAAAAAGTTGTTCATCATATTTATTAATTTTAATCACATGATACATGTGAAATATGGCCGATATTAACTAAAAAAAAAGCAACCTGTCAGTAAACATTTCATTATTTGATTTAAAGTAAGAAAAAAAATCCCCTCAGTTCTCCTTACCGAATTCTCACGCGTTCAGATACCAGAAGACTGGCCGTCCACAAAAAGAAGGAAAAAGTAAAACGTTAGAATTATTTCGTTTGAAAGAGTTATTTATATCAATTCCCTTACTGACTTTTCCACATATCCGAGTATTCCAAGGAACCAATCATCTGCAAAACAAAATAAATGAAATATTATTGATCGTTTTGTTAAAAAAATAAAAATAAAAATCTCCACAGAATTTTTCATGCATCCAAGTACCTTAAAGAATTGATTATCTACAAAAATGAAAAAATTGAAATGTCAGAAACATTTCGTTAAAAGAATTATTTACTTAAAGAATAGAACTCTTCATATCAAATTTTCCACATGTTCAAATAACTTAAGAACCGGCCTCTACAAAATGAAAAAAATTGAAATGTTAGAAATGTCTCATTTAAAGAAATAAATTTAAAATAAATAATTCTTGTAATCTCCTACCAAATGCTACGTGTCTAAAAAAAGCATAAAATCAAAATGTTAAAAAAGAATATTTTCTGATTTTACTACTATGCGTCCCAAAGACCTCAACTAAAAAAAATTTTAAGTCCTCCTACTAAAATTTCATGCGTTCAAAGGCCTGGCCATCTAGAAAAAAATAAAAATAGATAGAAGCATTTTGTATTGTAAAATAAATAATTATGAAAAAAATCTTCCCACCATATTCCTATATGTTTAAATATCCATAGAACCAAACCATCTAAAAAAATTAAGAAACAAGCCATTAAAAATCGTTCATTAAAATAAAACAAAAAAATAAATCTTGACAAACTTACCAAAATGTCACATCCAGGAACTGTAAAAAAAAATCGAAACATAGAAACATTTCATTATCTTGCATGATGTGATTTTCAACCTTTTTTTAAATCAAGTACAAAATAGGAAATAATAAGGAAATAGAGAAATGGAAATAGGAGAAATGGAAAAAAAGAAAAGGGAAAATTTTTGCTGAAAAAATAAAATATAACCAATTAATAGATAAGCTTCGTTAAAATGAATAAAAAGAAGTTAAAAAAGCTTAAAAAAAAGATCTGCAAACTGAAAAAAAAAAATAGAAAATAGTGTAGAAATAATTAATTATTTTTTTTTTTTACTTTTTTTTACGAATATGTAATGATATAATATATGAAATAAATAAATACAAATTAAAGTAACTAGTATCAGTTGGCATCATCTTACATAAAATATATCATGCAGGTCACGTCACACAGATCTTGTTAATTATATTTATTAACAATTATATATATTATTAATAACAATTGGTTGTTAATAAAGTGACTGCGGTATAAAAATAGTCTAAATTAGTTTAATAATTTTATTTATAAAGTCTATTAAAATTCGCCTTGTTAAAAAATTATTTTATTTTATTTTTTTTTTTACTCCCTATTTTTACAACTTTGCATTTGTTTTCTAACAATGGTAAGAATAACTCATTCAAAATCATACAACAGTAATAAAACAAACAATACTACGAGTAAAAATAAAACTATGCATAAACGTCAAAGAATATCAAACAGTACTATTGAGGAATCCAGTAAGATATTAATTTATTAATTTCTTTTCCATGATTTTATATGATGATCTAACTTTAATAACCTGAGCAGGAAAAAAAAAGGAAATTCGTCCAACCTGTCTGGTGAAAGTTTTGATGATGCAGATAATGCACGCAATGATCTACTTGATGATCCACCTCTTGATGAATTTATTATGGATATTAATACTCCTCATAACAGTACCTCTTTTAATAATGAATCTCTTGAGGAATCGGACAAATCACCTATCAAAAAGTCAAATTCAAATGTAACTGATAAATCAGAAAATGCCTTTTGTATTACAAACCTAATATTAACTTAAGAGATGAATTATCTGAATCACAATCTCGCAGTACTTCATTTAACAATATCATTTCTACTGGTGATTCTGCATCACATAATAAAAATTCAGAATACTATACGTATAAAAGAACTGTATGACCAACATTTTAAAATGTGTAGATGAACCACTTCTTACAAATGCTTCAGCTTTAAATGAGGTCAAGACACTTGATTATATCACACATGATCTCATACTTCCTCACTATAATCAAACCAATTTCACAAATGAAATAAATTTTAATGCACTGGAAGCTTCTACAAGCTATAGAAATGGACGTGGACATGAACACGAACGTGAATGTGGATATATTTATGGATATGGACGTGGAGGATTTGGCAGAAGACATTGAAGTAACTCATATTCAGTTTTCTATGTACTTCATGATGTAATTCACGATGTAATATAATTTAATACTTGAAAAATCACAGGTATTTAATGCTACTACTGCATGTTGTGCATAAAAATTTGTATTTAATTATGAATCAAACATTATATTAAAAAATTTTATACTATAGGTGTGAAAAGTAAGAAAGAGTGTGTGAAAAGTTATTAGTAAGAAATATTTTAGTCTGACTTCCAGCGGATAAGTGGATGAAACACTAACATTATGTTAGGAACCTCCTTAATGAGCCAAATTAAGAAGAAGTAATTCATTATCTTAAAGTGCGTGATTAATCAGATTAAAATACTTACTATTAGCTGTCAATGAAAAATAACAACATAGTAGTTATATAGTTATATGTATAACAATCCATTGTAATATATATTGTGTAATGTATAAGTAAAAAAAAATTGTTTAAAATCGTAAGATGATTTATTTAAATATAATTGTGTCTATATAAATTACAAGTGCTTGTGTATTAATATATACTTGACAATTTATAATCCAAAACTATTGTACAATTCATTATAGAATTTAAATATATTGTACAATACTTGTACAAGTATCGTACAATACATTACGTAAAATTTTAGTTGTTAGCAAAGTATTCCAAGATTTAGCTATATTAATACCTTCTGTGATTAATCCTTTCATCTTGTCTAACGTTACTAAGCTAATCCGTCTATTTATATTTGTATTTTTTTCTTTTTTAACTAAATTTTCTTTTGTTTTTTGTTTTTTTTTAGTTTTTCCTGGTATTATATCCGTTTCAGTATCATCTTCTACTGTATTATCGTTTACATCTCTTTTTCTTCTAAGATCTATTTTTTTAATTTGTTCTCTTTCTTCTAATCTTTTAATTTCTTCGCATCGTGGAATCCATATTCGTTTCTTGATCTCGTCGTACGTGAACATCCAAAGCTTTTTGATTAGATCTTTAACTTTTTTCTCTTTAGATAGATCATTGAATTTATTATTATAAATCCCTCTTAATAATTCCCATTTTCTGCTTTTCCTTAACAAAATATTTGAAGGACTTTCTATTATATTAATAAATTCACAGTTGTAGTTTTTTAAAATTTCTAATTCTTCATTTTGATTAGAGTTAGCCAAAACTTTTTTGAAATTATATGGTGATTCTCGTATGATTTCGTCAATTGATATATCGTTATCTTCACATATCCATATGTGTTCCCAATCTTCCTGGAAGATTTTCCCACATCTTATACATTTATCTGTATCTATTTTATTCGTGTTTCTTTTGAATAAAGTGTTATATGTGGGCAGTTCTTTAAGTAAATTTTTGATTCTGTATGAGCGTTCTATCGTATCTCTATCACCACATTGTCTTTGCGAAAATTTAACTCTATTACTAATAAATTCAAGACTTGTGATCCAGTCAAATTCGTTTCTATAGTTGTATATAAATAGATCTTCTAACCTCTCGCTGTTTAAAATTTCATTTTTCCAAATTGCTAATGTAACTGCTTTCCTCCAAACTCGGAACCCTCCTGTTATTAATTTGTTATTCCAAATTAAATTATATTCATTCGTAATTAAACCTTCATCTATCAATTCAAAATTATATTTTATCTTATCTATCTTATTATTCTTTAACATTTCCTGCATCTCTTCTCTTTTTTCTTTTATAATTCTCTGTATTTTCTCTTTACCTTCGATTAATTCGATGTTATTTGTTTCTAAAAAATTTTCTAAGAATAAAAGCTCTAAATAATAGTCACTATCTATCTTTTTCCTGTTGCTAAAATTGTTAATAAATTCAATTATTAGTCTATTGACTTTCTCGTTTATTCCCAAAATTAATTCGCTATTCTCACTAATTGTCATAATTCCTAGAATTATACATTTAAGAATAATTTTAAATTCATTTTCGTTATAACATTCATAGCTCGCTAGTAATATCAATTCCTCGCTCTCATTTTCTTCGTAATTCAGTTCAAATATTTTCCATATTACGTTATATCGATAAACTCTTTTACCTTTATTGTTAATTTCCCATTTCTTTTTGTTTGTATCAATTAGTAGACAAAATCTTCGTTTTGTTATTGAAGTCAAATTATCTTCTTCTTCGAAAATACTATTTTTGATTATAGTCATCGGGCTGGATGTGGGTCTCGCTACCGCTCCACCCACCTCGGCCTCACGGCCTCACAGTACCTATATGGCCCCTACGGGGCTCAGGAATCCCCATATATCCGCCACAATATGGGACAACATCTGGAACAAATATATATACCAAATAACTAGAAAACAATAGAAAAGGAAGCAAAAACGGATATAATGAGAGGGTTGTCCCAGATGTGGCAGATGTGGCAGATGTTTCAGAAAAAATATGAGAGGACATCCCCCCAGAAAAAGTTTTATTTTTACCCCCCAGATCTGCCACATCCGGAACATCTGGAACAAGTCAGGATTCCGTCTATTCATCTGTTGGAAGCAGTAAGACAGCAAACCAGGTACTTTACAGAAACCTTCAATTTTCATAAATATGATAAACATATAATTGTTAGATAGCAGTCATATTTTCGATATATAAAAAAAATATTTTAGTACATGTTATATAATTATGAGATGATCAACAGATGTATAAAACATGTTCGTAATTTCCT